AAAAAAAAAAGATAGGAAAATAGGAGCCAGTCATCCCAGGGTCTTCAGGCTTCATCCTTTTCTTCTCTAATCTCTCCTCAACCACCCATTTTCACTACATGGTGATCTCCTTCCATGTCACTTACTAAAATACTTGAGGTTTTTTCCCATGTGTTTCTGCTTTATCTTCCCAGTTAGTCTACAAGATATATAGGGAAGGATGAAGCTCTATTTTTTGTCACCTCTGCAGGCCCTAGCACCGGGCTTTAAAAATAGCAACCATATAACGCAGCCCACCAACTTTTGCAGGCTGTTTGGTAAGGGTACTCTGTCAAATTGGACATAAAGAAAACCTTGCCATTATCAACAGAATAACTTGAAAATGGAAAGAATTTCCAAAGTACTGCCAAGTTCTCTCAGGAACTTAGTCCCAGAACTCTGTTTATCTCTGCCATCCTCCATCCAGCACCCTCCCCCACCTCCAGTCTCTCTTTCCTGCCTCTCTCACACGTCAATACTGATTACTTCACCTCCCACACTGTGCCTTCACTCCCCAGCTTGATTTGGAATATCTTCTCTCTCTAGTTTCTCAGTCCTCCTCCCTTACAGATATCTGGGAAAAATGGAGTTCTGTGTCAACAGCAATAGAAGTCACAAAGTGGTATTTATGGCTCCATTTTCCCTCTCCAACACACACACACACACACACACACACACACACATTCACACACCTCAGAATTTGGCCAAAATGGATAAGACACAAATCCAGGACTCCCTCTTTCAGGTCACTCATCTTTATTCCTCCAGCTACAAGAAATACCTGTTAAAATCAAAAAGACCTAGACTCATTTATAAGCCATATTTTTTCTACTGTATGAAATGTCTTTTTATGGCCTGGGAAATATTTCCAAATAATTCCTTTTAGATTTACTGTGATTGGAGAAAGAAGAAATAATTGGATATAGAAACAGAAATAGCAGTTGTAATCTAACCTCCCCTGTAAAAATGAATTAGAGAATTCATGTGAGATGAGCCAAGTCCTGTGGTGAAAGACAATTGGAATTATCTTGAACTTCCCTATTACAACCACTTGGGGTTAAGGTACACCACAACAACAAACTGTCTCTGGTCTACCCACATACAACTCTTTCCACAAAGACCCTAACAAATCAAGGATAGGGCAGCAAAGCTCTAGGGTGGGCAGACAGATTCTTTCCTATGCCAAAATACTAATCCCTTTCTGGAAGTCAAAGAGCATCAGGCCATTGTGCAGGGTGGGCAAGGAGTAATTATTTTTCCTGCAAAGTATTTTATAACCCAGGGAGTTTCACTTCTGAGTAAACTTTGGGTTTGAGATCTTGAAAGGATGCTGGCTGCATAAGAACAAAAAGCTCTTCTCTTCCTATATTCTGAAGCATGTGGCTCACCAGTCCATTTGTTCACTCCACCAAAGTCTACTGAGTTCCTGTTATGTTTCAGGCACAGAAGTAGACACTGGAAATACAGTAGTGAACAAGACCAACACAATGCCTACTTGACAGGCTTGCCCTCGTGACAGGTCAGCTTCTGGTGATACAATAATCAAGGGTTACTAGGACTTACCACACCAATGTCCAATTGGTATTTCAATGTGCTACCATAGCTGCAGAGGTCCCATTATGAAGATCCTATGATGTCCCTCTAACTGCACAAAATGTTTAAAATCTATTTGATCCACATTTTAAAAATATCTTCGTCATACCCATATAACACACCTGTATCTTGTTCTTATAATTATACTAACTATCTTAGGTAGCTGTATGGTGATTAACTCTTTCTGGTTTTCCTTGGTCTTCCCTAGTTTTAGCACTAAAGACTCAAGTCTCAGGAATCCCCTCAGTTTGGGGCAAACTGAGATAGCAATTGGCATTTCAGGTGATTTCTTTTAGATAACTGAAGATTTTGCCCCCAAACCTTCAATACTTTCTAAAATTATAAACATCTTTCAAGGATATATTTCTCAACACTTCCCTTTAGAGGAAGATAAAAGCAGGCTTGTTTGGGTCTTATATAAAATAAAAGTAAATAGGTTCTAAATGGGTGCCTGACACCCTCTTATATTACTAACACTCTATTGATCACTCAGGGGCTTTTGTCTTTTCTCTTTCCTATATCTATCTTTCTGTGCTTACTTCCTGGCTCCCATCTGATTATTGGATCAATGGACATTTTGTAGTTTGCCATATTACTTAGTGCTTATATAGAATTTACCCCCTCAATCTTAATGAGTTTATCATTATGCACATATTATATATGAATGGAAAGTGCATTGGGTAATAACTGTCACTCTGGATATATTGACCCTTGTGTCAAATCTGTTGCTCTGCTTAGAAGTACACATATCTGTAACAGAATCATTAGTTTTACGCTGCTTTGGATAACCCATTAAGTGATTTAAAACTTTTGGAATTCTCAGCTTTAAGTCAAGATAATTGAACTTTCAAAAGATACTACATTCAAGAAATACTATTTCTGAAGCTTTTGAAATTCATTAAAGTCAATTTCACCGAGTCTAAATATCTCAGCTCCACTATTTGATGTTTTATTTATTTTTTGGAACCAGGAATTAAACCCAGGGGCACTCAACCACTGAGTCACATCCCCAGGCCTTTTTAAAAATATTTTTATTTTTTTGTGGTGCCAGGGATTGAACCCAGAGCCTTGTGCATGTGAGGTAAGCACTCTACCAATTGAGCTATATCAAATTGACAAACTATATTTATATATAAATATATATATATATATATATATATATATATATATAAACTATATAGTTATATTGGTTATGTGAGCCAATAATTTATGGTGCTAATCATGGCTGTACTTATAAAGATGGCTCAAGCACTCTAGTCCATATTTTCTCTATATTCTCCCATTTCTCATGAGACTGAGGTCTGGCCTTGTTTCTGGAGCCAGGATGACTTTCTGCCCTTGCTGGGGCACCCTCTTTTCCACTGCTGGAGAATATTCAGACCATTGCTACTAGTTTCTGATGTTTGTCATCTTAATATAGCTTTTTTTAAAATTTTTAAATTTTAAGACAGAGTCTTACTAAGTTGCTTAGGGCCTCAGTAAGTTGCTGAGGAGGCTTTGAATGGAATGTGCATTGGGTAATAAATGTCCTACCTCAGCCTCCCAAGCCACTGGGATTACAGGCATGTGCCACCATGTGCAGCTGGTTTTGTTCTTTTGTTACTACCAAAGATGACTTAATATTGAGATGTCCCTTACAGTTGGCATTTCACTGGATTTTAAATGACTTTAAATTATGTTATACATTTTTAAAAGGCAGCTCAGGGCCTAACTGTAAATACAGAAATTATAACATATCATATGTAGTACATATAGCTGCTTAGCCTTCATCTACCTCATGAAGAGTTTTGTGGCCATCAAAAAGCATGTGCCTGGTGAATCTGGAGACTATCATGCTAAGTGAAATAAGCCAATCCCCAAATACCAAAAGGTCAAATGTTTTCACTGATTTGTGGGAGCTAAACCACAATAAAGAGGGGTAATAGGGAAGAAACGAAATTCAGAAGATTAGACAAAGGGGGAAAAAAGAAGAGGGGAATGATAGGAAAAGGAAAGAATTAATCTGATATAATTTTCATATATATATATATATATATATATATATATATATATGAAAATACCTAAGTAAATCCTACCATCAAGTGGATCCACAAGAATGGGGTCCTAATTAGAATAAGATATAACCTATGCTTGCATAATTTTTATCAAAACGGATTCTACCATCTGCATGATTAAAAAGAATCAATTTTTTAAAAAAAGCTTGGCTTGTGTATACAGCCACCTTCTCTGCATTAAGCTATATGTGAGATAGTTATGTGAGGCCTGGTCTTTATCCCTCTACTTTATAGGTTTGACCTCAACTTTTACCTTTTCTTCCTTGTAATCCAGGAGGAAGACATCATAAGAGAAAGCCGCTTCTATTTCCGTGGCTATGGCCTGGGCCACTGCCTGCAGGGAAGGGATGGAGGCCCAATGGAAGGTTCTAGTATTTATAGCCCTCAAACTCCAGCTCCTCTTCTAAAAGAAGGAGAAACCATGCGGAAACTCTATGTGGACCAGGCCAAGAGAATTGACACCATCTCCCGGGCTGTCTTCCCTTTTACTTTCCTCATTTTCAATATTTTCTACTGGGTTGTCTATAAAGTGCTACAGTCAGAAGATATCCACCAGGCACTGTGAATAAGGTGGAGGTTATAGAGTACAGCTTATGGCTTTCTGCTACTTCCTGGGTGGGCTTTCCCTCCCCATTAGACTCCACTGGGGAAGACAGTTCCTTCCCAATCTCCCATTCAGAATTTCCAACTACCTGTCCCAAAGCTATGTGAGCCAATACTGCATGGTGCCAATTGTGGCTGTACTTATAAAGACGGCTCATCTACCCTAGTCCATATTTTCTGTATATTCTCCCATTTCTCATGAGACTAAGGTGCCAAGATGACTTTCTGTTCTTGCTGGGACCCCTCCTTTCCTCTACTCCAGTGGAGAATATTCAGACCATTGCTACTAGTTTCTGATGTTTGTCATCTTAATATATACCAGTCCTCACCCTACCACCTCCCCCCACCAGATCCTAGCTCTTACTTGACCCTCTATCCCTCCTATCACAACCTCAAATAGGAAGTCTTTCCCATACTCAAGTGCTGCCTGTGTGACCCAGTCAGGTTTCCTTACAGTGAGAGGAAGACAAAGATATAGGTTTTATTCCTCTTAAAAAGAATGGAAGAGTCATAGGCTGAACAGGGCTAGGAAGGCATGTGAACATTGGGAATATGACCCAACAAAGGACTGTTCAAGTTTTCTGAGAAATTCAACACTATCAGAATTGGGGAAGAAACCCTTGGGACCTCAGAAAGATCACCCCTCCATATACACCTGAATTTCCTCATCTCAGAAATATCTATTCTATTCCATAGTTAACATGGTGGCAGGGTTCTTTATGCTGGATAGTATAAAGAGAAAAAAAAATCTTCTCAAAGAAAAAAAATCTTTATGAAATGTATAATGCTAGGAAACTCAATAAAAGTGAGATCAAAAGTAGTAGAACCCAGGAAAAGTATAAATATAGGAACCATCCTCGGAGAGTCTGTTGTTGACTAGATTTTCATTTGTTTCTTCTTTTTTCTCCCAAGTCTTTATTTTCCAGGACCCTCATTTAAAATTTGCTCCTTCATTTCCTTTTAATGAGCAAGTAATGGTGCCATGCAACCCTGTTCAGGTCAGAGTGGGCTTCAAAATTCCTGGGAAGGAACTAGGCATAAAGGATCGCTATCCTGGACAAACATTGACTCAACCAACCTCAGAGTAGTAGCTTTAGAAGTTAGAGAGCCATAATAAGTGCTGTTTGTTCATGCTTCTCTTGTTTCCCTTCTTCCTTCTATAGTAAGGAACAGTAAGAGATATAGCAGTCAGTTAAAGCTACTAGAAATGTCAGAATAGAGAGGTTGGTGTGGTATGTTTCAGGCCTAACATACCACTGCAATGTGGGGCAGTATGGGCCTGGTACACTAAATTCTTTGAATTACCCTAACTATGGAGGAACAGAAACAAGATATGAGAGATGAAAGTGTGGGAATAACAGCTGGACCAAGTGATCAAATAATCTCTCAGCCACCTTGACCTTTTCTCTGGAGCTAGAATAATTAACTATGTAAGTCCAATCTTCTCTCCCTATGTCTCACTCTCTCCCAACTCACTCACTCCACATGATATCCAATTGAAAGTCAATAAATCCAACGATCAAAGTAAATCCTATAGTCAAACAAAAAACTCTTGCTTTCTTTCTTCGTTGAGGTTGTCTGTTCTTTCCTGTTCACACAAATGCTCTTTTCGTGAAGAGAATATTCTGGTCTCTTCATCGTGAAGAGAATATTCTGGGGTGACCAAGGTAGCTTTTCTAGAAGTTATTTTTGTTTGCGATATTATCACTCTGGTGACAAGAAGACTCAAGATTTAAAAACTGGTTTAAAGGAAGAGATAGAATGGAGAATAGCAGAGAGCCCCTGTTTTCCCATTTCTGCTCAGGTAGTGCCAATGAATGAGAGGCCACAAGCAATACCCCTTTGAAAGGAGCAGAGAGTATCTCTTTGATACTCTCCATGGTGAGGCTGGGGTGTCAGGCTGCCGCAGCCCGAAGGCGGGGGTAGAGGGGGGTGGACTATGGAGATGAGCTTATTGCACAGAGCTCTGCTTGTTGTAGATCTTGTCCAGATGGGCCAACTGCACAAATCTGCCCTGTTGGAAGTCTCAAGAACAATGCCCTGGAGACAGCTACAGCACTGAGCAATAGAGCCTGCCCAACTGGGACCCAGATCAGGGCATCAGCTGGTGCTGGGAGCCAAAGAAGTCAAAGTACCAACCAACATAATAGCCCAAAGGAGCTCACAGAGGTACTCAGAGGCAGCATCAGGTGGAAGGTATTACCCCTTCCATTGGAGTCCCTAAAAGGAGAAGGGTGATGCATTGTGTCAGAATCAGGTACACCCTTCCCACATATGTACAGGGTCTGGGGAAATGCTAGGTCTCACGGAGAGCATCAGATGCCTAGCAATCCATTCAATCATGGAATTCTTAAACTTAGACCCTTCTAACCAGAGTGCATTGGCAAGAGGTAATATGAAAGACTCACTTGGAGGTCACTTCCACTTATGTAGTCATTTACGTAGTACTCACCCCTCCAGAGACCCACACTGCTTTCTGCCTGAATCACATCTGAAGTGATTTTGAAATTTAAAATAGCATTTTTTAAAAGGGGAAAAACTTTCTACATAAAAAAGTGTTTTGGGTGTTTTCATTAATTCATTGTTAATATTTAATGTCAGTTAAATATTTTATACATATATTTTTCCAGAGAAAAGGCTTTATTTATTTAGTTGTTGTTAAGACTATCATCCCCCCTTGAGCATGCTCTGCTCTTTGGAAAACCAGCAGTCTGTCCTCCCTTTTCCACTTAATCCACTAGCAGAGCTTCTTGCTCTCCCAGAATTCACAGGCAAAGCCAAAAGAACTTTCTAAATGGAAGAAGGATAGTGGATAAAATTTATTTCTTTAACTTTCTCCCATAAGCATTTCCCCCTACCTATCACCAAAGAATAGGTGCTCTTCTATTTAAAATTTTAAGCTGGCTTAAAGTTATTTTCTCTTTTCATTGTTACACAAATATCCCAATGTTGTACAGAACATATCACATCCTGGGAATCTTTATATATATCCTCATTTGCCTCTCTCCACTCTCATTCTACTATTATCAATACTGTAGTTCTTATCTCATCATTTCTAGCTACCAAAATCTTAAATTTGACTTCACTATATTAGTATTAATGACTTTAGGCTTCTCTGTTCATTCAGACAAATCAAACAAGCATGGGAACCACCCAGGGATGGGGAAGTCAGGGAGTATTACCATTGGTTCAGTGGAAGAAATGTAGAATATGCTCTTTGAGGAGAGAGAATGCATCTTATACAACTTGTTAGCCAACTCTGCTCCTGATATCTAGCAGTACTCCATATGTGTACAAAATAAAAGCAAGACTTCCCACTTTCCTTATCATATACCATAATTCGGTTCATTCCCTCTCCATGAATGTATTAATCACAGAAAACCAGACCTGAAAGAGATCTTATAAAATCACATAGAGTTCACACACACATGCATGTGCACACAGGCTAATTTTTGGTTAAGTTAAAGTTAAGAAGACAGCAAAACCTTATAAATTGCATTACTGAATTAAGAATGATAATGAATTAAGAATCATAATGTTGCCAGGCACCGTTGCACATATCTGAAATCCCAGTGGCTTGGGAGGCTGAGGCAGGAGGATTGCAAGTCCAAAGCCAGATTCAGCAACTTAGTGAGGCCCTAAGCAACTCAGCAAGACCCTGTCTCTAAATAAAATATTAAAAAGGGTTGGAGATGTGGCTCAGTGGTTAAGTGTCCCTGGGTTCAAGCTCCTATACCTAAAAAAAAAGAACCATAATGTTCTTTTTTAATTATTTTTTAGTTGTAGTTAGACACAATACCCTTATTTCACTTATTTATTTTTATTTGGTGCTGAGGATCAAACCCAGGGTCTCACACGTGCGAGGCAAGCACACCACCACTGAGCCACAACCCCAGCCCCATAATGTTCTTATTAAACATCAATAATACTCCATATAGCCAGCCATGGGGTGCACACCTATAATCCCAGGTACTCAGGAGGCTGAGACACGAGGATCACAAGTCCCAAGGTCAGCCTCAGCACCTTAGGAAGATCCTGTCTCAAGAGTAAAAATAAAATAAAATAAAAAGGTCTGGGGATGTAGCTCAGAGATAAATCACCCTGGGTTCAATCCCTAGTGCTACAAAAATGATAATAGTAATAATACTCCATATATGAAGACTAATATCAAGCTATATTTCAAAAACCAATCACCAGAGGACCCTGGTGGTGGCAAGCAAGTACAGTAGTGGGGATTTGGGCATTTGCATCTGTATCTCTTCACCCTACTCCACCCATTGTTCTTGCTGGGGAGACAATCATTTCCGAAGTTGCTCTTCCCAGCCTCACACTATGCTACATCATAATTTACAACTATGATAATGTCTACAGATATGGGCTGGTGACATCAGAACAACCCTGTTAGCAAATCTTAGGATTAGGAGGAAGAAGGACAACTGAGCCAATGCACCCTCACAGAGCAGTCTCCCTGTAGAAGAATGACAAAGAATGTCTAACATCACAGGGCCACCTGAAGAAGTCTCATGAGAACCCAACTATTGCCACCCATCATAAGTAGCTTTTTGCAGCCTCTGTTTTCACCATGAGTCTTTCTACAAGTATCCTGGCACATTATACCATGTGGTGCATTACAAAGGAAGTGTACCTTTTTCATAATCAATTTCCTGGAGTAAGGGCAAATTTTTACCATCTCCAAAATTTAGGGTGCACTTTTGCCTTACTGAGCTGAATTGAAAAAATATACACATATTCTCTATTTTAACAGTTTCCATTCATGACTGTGGTAATTAGGATGATGTGCTGGCTTTGGTACCAGAAAGACCCTGGGTTTGAATTACAATTCCAGCAATAGATATAGGTTCTTAGAAAAATTACTTCACCTCCTTCAGTCTAAATTTCTTCCTCTAAAGGGTCATTTGAAATCTTGGAAAGATTCTGCACACAGTAACTATGTGGTCTTGTGTAAATTATTGAACCATTCTGTGCTTCAGTGGTAATAATACTACCTATTTGAGAGGGTTAATGTGGGAATTAAATTAGGTAATGTGGATAAAGTGCTTAACTCAGAACCTGGCACACAGAGGCTGGGGTTGTGGCTCAGTGGTAGAGAGCTTGCCTAGCATGGGTGAGGCACTGGGTTTGATTCTCAGCACTGCATATAAACAAATGAATAAAACAAGGTCCATCAACATCTAAAAAATTTTTTTAAAAACTTGCCACATAGTAAATGTTCAACAAAAATTATTAATATTACACGAGCAAACTACATCATCATAGTCTCCCTTCTATACCTGCCAAATTTCTAATACATTTACCTATCTGGAAATTCAATTTCCATTTTATGAATTATCTTTATGAGCCCACAGTTACAAAAAAAAGTTCAAGCTAAAATCACCTTTTATATTTTCAGTCTCTTGACCTGCACTGTGTTCTTCCTGCTGGTATATAGCATGCTTACAAATTATGTTACCATGGAAAATTGCTTAATTTCTATAAGCCTCAGCTTTCCTGAGAGAGAACAAAGAAGAAGAAAGAAAGGTGGCGGGGGGTGGGGGTGGGTATGAGGTGGTAGTGGAAAAGTCATCTCTCCTCACCAAATGCCTACTGCTTGGTTGTTCTCGACTATTTCCTCCATCCCACAAGTACTTTAAACTCCACATGTCTAGAGTCAATTTATGATCTCCTTCAAACTTTCTCCTCATCACATCTTAAAAACTTTTCAATTTGAGGAGGAAGAAATCATGAGAGAACACTGACTTTAAAAAAAATTAGATGTTCACAGTCCTCTTAGAAAGGGGATATCTCAAATATTGACAATAATTAGGATAATATTACAGGGGTAGAAAGGTCATGCTAAACTATGATTCTAGAAACTTGTGGTTCCTTCTCAAGAGTTTCTTTGTGAATTTATGAATCTCATAGATTTACGCTTCTTTTGGCTCTTCCTTAGTAGAAATATGATGTTATCATCATTTGATTGACCTAAACTTCAGGATGGTCCTTTAAGGAAGGAGATAATGTAGTTTCTGATTAATATAGCATTATCCTTCTCTGAAATTCATTCCATTGATTTTTTTTAACTCCACTGATTTGAAATTAGCCCGTCCTGTCCCATCTCATTAGGATTTCAAATTCCAGTTTTATTATGACCCTTTTTCACCTAAAGACACCTAACAGAGAAGAAATCATAGGAATTAATCTCATTCATTTCTATCTGTTACTTACACAGTCTCCTTCCATAATATCCTGATAGTGGAGTCATGTTCAGTATAAAGGATTCAAGGCAGAGAGTGAGGGTCAAATCTAATAAATTTAATTTCAAAGTGTCACTGATAACTATGTCTGATATTATTCTTAAACCTAGAGATATCCAATTAGGAATACAGCTACAAAATAGTATGCTTCTTCCTCTTAACCTTCCTTGGTGCAGGAGTCAGGGAGTGAATGGGGTGTGTATGCACTGCTTCTCTGATATCTTCATTTGCTATCCTCCTAACCACCTGGGATCTGAATCAGAGATGAACAGAAGCCAATCCCTTGGCATTCATG